AACCTGTTTTGGTAGAAACAGTGTTCCAACCGCGCCTAGAACAACACTGCATGCTTGTGACAACCAAACCTGTTTTGGTAGCAACAGTGCTCCAACCGCACCTAGAGCATCGCACGCTTGTAACAACCAAACCTGTTTTGGAAGCAACCGTGTTCCAGACAAGCAAGACTTACTACAACTTAGCCTTGTCCATGAAGGACAAACAAGACAAACAACGTCTCCAAGACTGGGAGTCATGGAGCATACTCCCAAGAAGTATTCAAAGCATGCAAGTGCAGCGTACGTATGTCTCCAGCTCACCTGCCCCAATGCAGAAGAAAGAATTGTATGCTTCCTTAGATGTGTCTACGAAGGTTAACACAGCCTTAAGATACATCTCACTCTACAGCGGGGAGAGCCACACTTACGTTATCTTGTTTGTGACCATAAGATGCATCAGAGTCTACAGCGGGGAGTGCTGCAGTCTCAGTGTCTTCTTAGGAAAAGCGAGACTAACAATACAAGAAGGCCACACCGTACCAAGGTTACAGCTATATGGCACCACTTTGGCTGTAAAGCTGACCAACTTGACAGCAAAGACGTTGTGCCTTGAACTACAGTCCACCACCTTCTACGCAGACAGCAAGGTGATGTCAAGCTACATCTGCAAACAAAGTGGACACTTCTACGTCCATGTAAGCAACAGAGAGAAAAGGATTGAAACATCCTTAAGCCCTGAACAATGGCAACATGTGCCAACAAATAAGAACTTTGTTAACCAAGTGAAGTGGCCCAACCTTGCCACGCAGATAACAGAACTGATCTGGCTAGAAAGTCTTCAGCTCTTGGCCTGTCCAAATAGACAGATGCTACATAGACCAAAACGTTATGCACTTCCAGCTTCAGATCAAAGTGCCAACCTTCAACCTCAGACACCCGGTAAACGTCAACCAATCCACTTCAAAACCCTGTCTAAACGCAGACAACTGAAGTTAAGCATAGTTTTGATCGTCTTGATCACTTGTCTCAGCACCCCAAGAATTAGCCTTGTAGAAGCCTGCAAGGACTTACTGCCTTTCATGGACTCCATGTCATTAAATACACTGACACCCACACATGAAGTCCTCACCCTGACGACAACAGTAGCAGACCTCTTCAGTACTCCACCGGTGGCTCCAGACCCTTCGGTTCTTGAGTATCCTGAGTCTTCTGCTCAAGCTGTTGTTCCTGATTCTTCACTTCCAGCTACTGTTCCTGACCCTTCAGTCCCAGCTGTTGTTCCTGATTCTTCAGCTCCGGCTGTTCCTGAGTTTCCAGATGTTCCTGATCCTGAGTTTCCAGCTCCAGCTGTTCCTGAGTTTCCTGATGTTCCTGATCTTGATTCTTCAGCCCCAGGTGTCCCTGAGTTTCCAGGTCCAGCTGTTTATGTCTTTCCAGGTTTTTCAGTTCCTGAGTATCCTGTGAATCCAGTTCCCCTCATTCCCGAGAAGCTTGGGTTCCAGTTTTTTCTGTTCCAGATTTGGTTCCAGTTTCCTTCACAGGAAGAAGACCTTGTCTCATTGGGAGACAAGACTGCATACCAGAACTATTGGCCCACGGTTCCTGCGCACCGGGCCCACCCACTTGATGAACTAGTTTACCCAGCTGAGATCCAGATCATGAAGCCACGTGAGTCAGGTCGTGACTCAAAGACACTTGTACCAGGCTGATCACCGATTTGGTCTGTTGCTGATGAAGACTGAACCAGAAGATTAAACCTCAAATTATGTATTGTCTTATGCATTATTTGATGTAACACTTGCCTTTTAGCATAATCATGCATGTTTTATGTTTACCTTATAGTTATGCATGTTTGATACCAAGTTTTATCTATTTAGTCACAAGTTAACCACAATGAGTATTGCATGCCTTGATGCTACGTTTTTACTATTTTAGTAGTGGAAATATAAATTTCCAAGCGGGGAGTGTTCTGGCCCATATAGCTCTATGGCCCATATAGCTCTATGGCCCAGCTCTACGTTGGAGTGTCTGGCAATTATTGGGTTAAATGCTAGGTATGTGGATGGGTCAGTGGGAGGAGTTCCAAAGGTCATTGGGAGACTTCCTGGACACAAGCCACTTGGGAATCTCTTTGTCTGTAAGAAGCATGGGCCATGGAAGGTCTCCCTATAAGCATAAAGATGGTATAAAGAGCAATATCTTCTTACCTAAATGAAGGATCTAAAAGATGAACAAACATGTATTTCCAGCAGCACCAATCTCAACGTGAACGCAAGTAATCTTTCTCATTAAAATATATTTTGTTTATAATAAGATCGTTTCTTTTGAGTTAACTATCTGACAGGATTTAAAAGAGATCACTTTAAGTTTGTGTCAGAATAGCAACCTTGGCTCTTTTATCACTCGTGGACTTCAACTCCCAGAATTCCTGAGCCAGGCATGCTGAGGGGAAAGGGAGAGGTTTCCAAGCTGAGCCATGCTGGCTCAGGAATTCTGAGAGTTGAAGTCCACGAGTCATAAAAGAGCCAAGGTTGCCTACCCCTGGACTAGGCTTTAACTTCTCTATGTTCCTTTTCAAAATAAAAGTCAACAGGCAAGCTTGCTTTCTAAGAGACTTCGTTTTGACTTGCATTCCTTTCCTCATCTATTATTTATTCAGCCTTGAGTAACTTACTAGTACCTCATAGTAACTTTGTGTGTGTGTGTGTGTGTGTCTGTGTGTCTGTGTGTCTGTGTGTGTGCATGCGTGTGCGTGCGTGTGCGTGCGTGTCCACGTGTGTGAATCTGAAATTCAGCACACGTCACCAACAAGCATGACCGATGCAATCTCTGTCCTGTTGTATGTCATGCTGCCTTTGTTTTGCTTGTCAAAAGGAGATTTAATGTGGAAATAGGGATGAATTTCCTGGTAGAGTGATCAATCAGTGGAACAGCTTCTCCTGCAGTTCTGGATGCTCCATTGCTGGAGAACTTCATAGATAAAAGTGGACAACCATTTCTCCAGGATAACCCCCTCTGCATCATGGGTGACCAATTGTGATGATTCCTCCCCTCCCCCCTCAAGCTTCCCCTGACACCTCTCCAGATGTCAGCTATGAGGTGTCAAGGTAATTATGATTTAGTAGCTGACCGACACAAGTGATATATAGAGAATGAGTCAGCAGAGTGTTTGGGGGTAGTATCCCTTTAAGACAGAAGTCCCCAACCTTGGCAACTTTAAGACTTGTGGACTTCAACTCCCAGAATTCCTCAGTCAGCTTGGCTGGCTGAGGAATTCTGGGAGTTGAAGTCTACAAGTCTTAAAGTTGCCAAGATTGGAGACCCCTACTTTAAGGGACTATGTCCGAGAAAAACAGCAGTTGGAACCTGTTTGCTCACTTCAACCGTTTGAATATAATTGATTATCTTGTATTCTGTATACTCCCTGAATATTGTTGTTGCATATTGTATATTAAACCAGAGTTTTTTTAACAAACCACTGTCAGATATTTATGCTCCTGTGTTATCACAAGAAGAAAATAAGAAAAAGGCTGTGATAATTTATATTTTAAACAACAGGAGGAGGATGAACCAGTCCCAGGCATATCTGGAGGGGAGTTGGTCAATGGCTCCAAGCAACGATTTGAGAAGATTGGCTGAAGCGCAGCTGAAGCAGGACAGCCCCGAGGCTTCAGGTGGGGAAAGTACACAGTGATGAGGAAGAGAAAATGCCTTCTGGACCTGATCCAAGAACACATAGGGCAAACAAAAGGCAGGAGCAGAGAAGGTCAGCCAGATTACTTGTGAGGAGAAAGCCTCGCCTTTCTTGATGGTTTGCACCAGAAGCTGACTATTTAGCACAGCAGATGGGTGGAGGCGATGCTGGGAACAATGTGTTCCCAGCCTGGCTGTTTCCTGGTCATTGTGATACCTGTCTTGCTTTGGATTGACACCATGCCTTGACTTTGGGTCGTGCCTTATGAACTCTGGACATTTGTTACCTAATGAATTCTCTTGTGTTGTGAATTTATCTTGTCTGGAAAACTTTCAAGTGCCTTGTGGACATATCCTTCCCCCTCTGTTGAGAGACGACTGTTCAGTTTTGACATAGATGGCCTCTTTGACCCCCCCTTTCAAACCAGTGGTGCTCTGTGAAAAAAGGCCCCCCACCAGAGGGGGAGAGGTATGACATCTATCTTCAGTCTACAACACAGTCCTTTCAACAGTTCCAAGAAAGCTCCACACTCATTTGCATTACTCAGGTGACCCTGATGACACAGATAAACCTCCAGGTGGCCTCAGTGACACTCAACAAGAATGCAAATGACCAGCTGTCTGCCAGGAGCATAAATCCTTCCATTCCCCTCCATCCACTCAGAGCTGGAAAAGCTTCTTGGGTGAGAAGTAAAACATCTTCAAAGGAAAAACAAGAAGGTCCAATTGCCTCGTGAAGAAGCATCTTTGGGACAACGATGACTTGGATGACTAAGAATCTCCATAGACACTTAAAGACAAGAAGTGGCCAGATCAGGAGACCAGAGAATAACCTCCCTTACACCCCCATTTCCTGAGAGCTCCTCAAATCAAACCTGTCTGCCTGCAGAGAACACTTTCCCCCCCAGGGAGAAGCCAAGACAAAATAAGGGGGGAAGTACCAGAAAAGGCCTTGAACCTCAGAGTTAGCTTTGAGGCCCCTCCCTCCAGGGGGAGGCCCTACCCAGCCTCTTCTGGAAACCTGCAGATTTTATTTATTTATTTATGAGACTTATATACCGCTTTAAGTGCAAGCACTCTCTAAGCGGTGTACACCATAAGCAATGTATATATATATATTTACATTGCCCCCAACAATCTGGGTCCTCATTTTACCTACCTCGGAAGGATGGAAGGCTGAGTGAACCTTGAGCCAGTGAGGTTTGAACCGCTAACCTGCTGAACACAGTCAGCTAAAGTGGCCTGCAGTACTGCACTCTAACTGCTGCGCCACCTCGGCTCAGCAGTTGGCACCAAGGGAGCTTCTGAAAGACTAGGGAGGCCGATGCTACTCATAGAAACATTTTATTGGAGAAGAGGGTCTCATGGGTAAAGTAGGAAGGGTCATCCTCCCCATTTCCCCCCAAACGCAGAAACAATGGAAGGCTGGCTCTCTTCACCCTCTTGAAGGTGTCCGTGCCAACACTACAATGAAACAGGAAGGACAGAAATATCAAAATTCACGGTGGCATGATTGGTGTCCCTTCCCCAAGCTGAGCATCCAATTCCCTCCTCCCACCCACTCACGTGAGAAAGAAAAGGGAGGCAAAGGAAATGGACGCTGCTTGTTCTCAGGGGCGGACAGGGCCGGCTAGGTCCCCAACCACGCATTGCAGGCCACGTCTGATGAGGGGAAGGACACTGACCCAAAGCAGGCTGGGCGAATTCTCCTCGGTCTTTGGGGGCCTCCCTTGAAGAAGCTCCATCCAGGTGACCAAGAAGGAGGCCTCTTTGGTGGGGAGCAGAAGAGCTGCAGGCCTTGTGCTTGGTCGGAGAAGGCACCCAGGTGGCCTCTTTGCCCCATAGAAATATGGGGGCTGTGCTGGGCTACTGCTCCCCAATTTGAGTAGAGCAATTAATGCCAAATCTGAGTGTTGTCAGCTGTGGACAACCCACACTGTGTTGCCACCCAAAGCACAATTGTCAGTGAGAACGATCTGGGGAACCTCCTCAAAAGCTTTACTGTATTTCTTTCTGGGGGAAGTGGCAGAAAGGGAGTCTCCAGGCTCTCCCGCAGGAGCTGCTCAGCCCTGAGTGCGAAAACATCCCCAAGAGAGGCAAACCATTGGGGCGTCTTTTCAAGAGCCACTTTGGGAGGGGGGAGGGAAGAGAGAGAAAAAGAGGTGTGCAGGGCCCTTCCAGTTGGGGGGCTCAACAGTTGAACCCCTGTGTTTCCTTACCTGGTTGCCTTCCAATTTTCTGCCGCGGATGGCAAGTTTCTTTGCAGCAGCCAGGCTGTCTCCAGCTGCTCCTCTCTGTTCTCATCTTGGAAACACTGGCCCACAAAGACAGTGGTGAAGGCTGAGGGAGGAATCAGCCAGAGACTCACTGGCAGGTCATGGTGTTAGAGCAGTTGGGAGGGGGGGACTATGGTCCATAGATCAAAATCCCAATGGTTTATTCCAGGCTAGTGGTGCCTGGAGGCTCAAGGAATCTTATGGACTCCAAAGTCTTTGGTCAGCTCTAGCTAATGGTGGGGGAGGGGAACATTCAGTGAAAGAACCTGCAAGAAGCAGATTTAAGGAAAGGGAGATCCACTAGATTCCCTCCTCCCCTTCTATTTGCTTCCACCCCAAATAGTGAGTGACTCTACCAGAGATGTTTGACTTGAGAATGAAGCCAAAAGTGGGTTGAGGATCCAGGTGCTGGATGCCCTGCAGCATGAGTGGCGGGATGGTCTTGTTGGTGGCACTTGGGGCCGCCACGTAGACGCCGCTGAACACCCCATTAATGTTGTGGCTGATGACTATCTTGGCGCCCCTGTCATTCACCCATCTGCCAGTCAGGGAGCACTAACGGAGAGCGGGAGAGGGAAGGAAAGCGAGTCACGGCGCTAGCCAAGCCTAGCTGTCCAACAGGTAGAGACTCTGGCTCCATTTTCTCCGGGGGATCTGAAAACACCCGCTGCTCCCACGTGCCCGACCCCCAAGGCTGCCCACGCCGGGTGGGGCTGGCAAAGGGGGCGCATCCCAAAGCCCGTCGGTCGAGGCGCCTGCCAGACCGCGTCGGGGACGACACCCGCCTGCAGATCGCTCTGCCATCTGCGCAGCGAGCGAGAGCACCAGCCCCGGCGGCAAGCTGCCGAAATCGCGGCCGAGCACGGAGGAGGAAACGCTGGGCCGTCCGTCCGTCGGGGACTCAGGGCCTCTGGCGCTCAGCGCGACGGCACCGGGTGCGGTCAACCCCGAGGAAGCGGCACTCTCTGCGCAGCCCGCCGGCTCCCACCAGCTGTTCCTGCCGCCCACCCGAGCAGAGGCTGGTGGCGGGGGGTTTCCCCGGGGGAGGCTGGGACCCTCTGCCCGCCACCCCGCATCTGACCTTGGCGGTTCGCTCCGAGTTTTGGGGTTCGACAAAGGTTCCGGAGCAGCCGAGCAGGAAAGCGAGGAGCCCCAGAGCTGCCAGGCCAATCGCCATGGTGGTGTCCAGGAATCTAGACGTGCCAGCTCCAGGAGGGACGCCCCTTATAAAGCCCCGCTCGCACCGGCTCCCCCCACCCCGAGTTGCCGCCTCCTCCAACCACCAATCCCCTCGCGGCTGGCAGGATGCCCGCCCGAGGGGTCGGACGTTTCTGGGAAATCGCTGAGGAGCACTTCGGCAGCATGGGGGGGGGGGGTAGGCGGGACGGGGGCAGACCACGAAGGCCATCCTGGGGGTCTCCAGGCTTTTCTTGGTTTGCTGCCGGAACATATTTCTCGGTTTCTGGAGAAAACTGGCGAAGGATCGGGCTGCTTCGCTCAGCAATTTCGCTCCACTTTAAGCCACCACCACCACCCTTCCTGCCCGCACGTCGTAGCCCGAGTTACTCCTTGCCCTGCCTGGTGGGGTCCGAAGGGAAGCAAGTCTGCCCCAAACCTACAGCAGTCCACCTGGGGAGGAGCGGGGGTCGGGGGGGGGAGCCTTGCCATTTCTCCAAAAAGGTCCTAAGAAGAGGGGGGGGACGGATTGCCTTGGCCGTTTCCTGGAGCTCCCCCTGGAGTTTCGCTCGCTCGCTCCGCTGGCCTCCCAGCCTGCGAAGGCAGAGAGGAGCGACGGGACACCCCCTACCCCGCGCTCACTAGTTCCCTCGCTGGCTCGCTCTGCGGGAACGACGGCGCCCAGATAAGGAGATGAGCACCATTCAGAGATCCCGAGCAGGGATTGATCTCCGGGAGAAGCTGATCCGCGGAAACGGCCGCCGCGGGGACCTTCTGGGCGCAAGGGCCACGCAGCCTCAGGAGGACCCTACCGTGCCCGTCGTGGCCCAACCTTGGCTCTCCTGAAGCGACTGAACCGCACGGGGGGGCGAGGGGAGGGGACGCGGCAGAAGTTACTTTACGCGCAGACAAGCAACAAGGAAGTGCTTGATGTGAACCCCCCCAGGGGGGCTCGGAGGCTTTGCTGAGCGGCCATTGGGAAGGCTCGGACACCCTTGGCCCGTTTTTCCCCTTCCAGGCGACGGTTTCATTTTCACCCAAGGCGGGAGCCAAAAACGGATTGCAATGTTTTAAATAAGCCTATATGTGTGACCTTCTTCTTCTTCTTCATCATCCCTTCCTACTAGGTCAGCATGAAGACAAACCATCCTTGAGATGTTCGGGTCAGCGAAGAAAAATATTTTGGCTTTTTGGGCCATGAGTTCCAAGCTGAGACGCTTTTTCGGCAGGTAGGGGTGTGTGTGTGTGTGTGCTCCCGCGCACGTTCGTTCGTTAACGACCCAACTAGGTAATTTCATCAATGCCTGTAAGGAGTGGGGTTTCCTCTCACTTTAATATTGTACTGCAGGGGTCCTCAATTTTGGCAACTTTTAAGACTTGTGGACTTTAAGTTTTGCTGCCTGAGGAATTCTGGGAGTTGAAGTCCACAAGTTGCCAAGGTTGAGGATCCCTGTTGTAGTGTCTTGCCCTGTGGGTGTTGGTTGGGACTGCTGTTAGAGCAGTGGTTCTCAACTTTTCTAATGCCGTGACCCCATAATACAGTTCCCCATGTTGTGGTGACCCCCAAGAGGGTGTGGCCACCAATAAGAGGGAGTAGGACAGCTAGGGAAAAGGGAAAAAAATGGCGGACAGTGTGGTTTGGCGACCCCCGTGAAATGGTCGTTCGACCCCAAATGGGGTCCCGACCCACAGGTTGAGAACCACTGTGTTAGAGGTTCTTTGGAAATGCCTGCAAGAAAATAACCAATAAGCTCAGAGAGCAACAAACAACCAAAAGTGGCAATGAGAATCATGCTGCGCATCGCTGGCGGAGGGGGGAAGCTTCCTTTATTTATTCAGGTCTTTACTTTTAGTGTCATGGAAAACAAGATTTTCTCGGTAGTGTTTATGCAGTGTGGAAATCCTATGGAGCCACAGGTGCCTTGGCTGCAATTCAAGCAAAGGCCCAGATGTCCGAGACGGGCTCCTCCTGGGAATCTGGGGGAGGTGGCCACGCAGCCCCCAGGAGGAGCCAGCAGTGCCTTTGGTGACCCTGCTCTGCCTCCCCTAAAGGCACCAAGTCATCTTGGAGATGCAACAGAAGTTCCTTTGCAAGAATGCAGTATGTATTGGGCCCTCTCCCCACTTTCTCCCCCAACCAAAGAGACCCCAGGCGGTGGCCTTCCCTTCTAAAGCACACAAGTGACATGGCCCCCAATCCCCCTCCCCTCAGCTCCAAGCCCTCAGAAGCACTTTGCCGGGCGGGGTGGTGGTGGTGTCTGGCTGCCCTTCACAGCACTTCTGCCATCCCGGTTTTCCTCCTCCAGGCATTGGCTTCATTTTCAGAAGGGGGGGCGCCAATGCCCACTTCCTCCTACTCTTGGGCCAGGCGCTGCCCAGCTGCCTGCAGGACTGACCTGGAACTCTTTTGCTCTCTGGATGGGGGACTCCTGCACTGCTCCTCTGAAGAGACGCCTTGGAACCATGACCACCGAATGGCTTTATCTCCGGCTTGGTCCCTTTGCCAAAGACACGCTTGCCTTGGCCAAGAACCTGGTGCCTCTGCAAGCAGGGGCAGGGGCAATCCCTTGACTTGACTAGGCAGCCACAATGGCCACCAGCAAGAACCTCATTTCACTTAATTATTGAGGGCATCTCATCTGGGGGGACTTATCAGTCCTGGAGCTTCCCAGAGTCTCCAGAGGTCCTGGGAGCAGTTGGGCGGGCTGGCAGGACCCTGGCAGAGAGATTCGCACCAGGGCTGCAGCAACCCCCCTGCCCTGGAAGAAGGAGAGAGGAGAAGCACAGACATCCCCACCTCCAGGAAAGATCAGGCTGCAGGAAGGAGATGCACCTACACTAGGCCAGGGGCACCCATGCAACAACGCCCCTGCTGCCTTCTAACATCATGGTCCTCCTCATCAAGGGCTCTGCAAAGTCTTCTTGCCAAGTTCTATCTTCAGTCTACAACCCAGTCCTTTCAACAGTTCCAAGAAGGTTCCACACTCATTTGCACTACTCAGGTGAACCTGGTGACAGAGATAAACCACCAGGTGGCCTCAGTGACACTCAAAAAGAATGCAAATGACCAGCTGTCTGCCAGGAGCATAAATCCTTCCATTCCCCTCCATCCACTCAGAGCTGGAAAAGCTTCTTGGGTGAGAAGTAAAACATCTTCAAAGGAAAAACAAGAAGGTCCAGTTGCCTCGTGAAGAAGCATCTTTGGGACAACTATGACTTGGATGACTAAGAATCTCCATAGACACTTAAAGACAAGAAGTGGCCAAATCAGGAGACCAGAGAATAACTTCCCTTACACCCCCATTTCCTGAGGGCTCCTCAAATCAAGCCTGTCTGCCTGCAGAGGACACTTTCCCCCCCAGGGAGAAGCCAAGACAAAATAAGGGGGAAAGTACTAGAAAAGGCCTTGAACCTCAGAGTTAGCTTTGAGCCCCCCCTCCAGGTGGGGGTCCTACCCAGCCACTTCTGGAAACCTGCAGACTGGCACCCAGGGAGCTTCTGAAAGACCAGGGAGGCCGATGCTACTCATGCAAATATTTTATTGGAGAAGAGGGTCTGATGGGTGAAGTAGGTAGAGTCACCCCCCCATTTCCCCCCAAATGCAGAAACCATGGAAGGCTGGCTCTTCACCCTCTCATTTGACGCGGTAGAAGGTGTCCGTGCCAACCCTACAATGAAACAGGAAGGACAAAAATGTTAAAATTCACGGTGGCATGATTGGTGTCCCTTCCCCAAGCTGAGCATCCAATTCCCTCCTCCCACCCACTCACGTTAGAATGAAAACGGGGAGCAACAAAATGGACGTTGCTGGTTCTTGTGGGTAGCCAGGGCCGGGTAGGTCTCCAACCACGCATTGCAGGCCACGTCTGATGAGGGGAAGGACACTGACCTTTGGGGGCCTCCCTTGAAGCAGCTCCATCCAGGTGGCCAAGAAGGTGGCCTCTTTGGTGGGGAGCATCAGAGCTGCAGGCCTTGCGCTTGCTTGGAGAAGGCACCCAGGTGGCCTCTTTGCCCCATACAAATATGGGGCTGTGCTGGGCTACTGCTCTCCAATTTGAGTAGAGCAATTAATGCCAAATCTGAGTGTTGCCAGATGTGGGCAACTCAGACTGTGTTGCCACGCAAACCACACTTGTCAGCGAGAACGATCTGGGGAACCTCCTCAAAATCTTTGCTGTATTGAGGGTGGGCGGGTGGGTGAGTGGGTGGGTGGGTAATGACAATATAGACATGGTAAACACTTGGGCATTTCCCCTATGCTGCGTTCATGTGTGTGAGAGGGATGAGAGGGGAGGAAGGAGTAGGGAGCAAGTAGGATGGTTAGAGGAGAAGGGGAGGGGAAGAGAGTAGGAGGGGAGGAGAGAAAGAGGAGGGAAGTGGGGAAGGATTAGAGAGGGTGGACGCAGCCTGGGGGGAATGGGCAGGCGGTACCAATGGTTAGGAATTTAATTGTATTTTGTATGGAATGGAAATGGAAAATAAAAACTTTTTTAATTAAAAAAAAAAAAGCTTTGCTGTATTTCTTTTGGGGGGAAGTGGCAGAAACGAATTATCCAGCCTCTCCCGCATGAGCTGCTCAGCCCTGGGTGCTGAAACATCCCCGAGAGAGACAAACCATTGGGGCGTCTTTTCAAGAGCCACTTTGGGAGGGGGGAGGGAAGAGAGAGAAAAAGAGGTCCGCAATGCCTTTCCAGTTGGGGGGCACAGCAGTTCAGCCCCTGTGTTTCCTTACCTGGTTGCCTTCCAATCCTCTGCCACAGATCCCACCTCTGCACGCAGCAGCCAGGCTGTCTTCAGCTGCTCCTCTCCGTTCTCATCTAGGAAACACTGGCCCACAAAGACGGCAGTGGAGGCTGAGGGAGGAATCAGCCAGAGACTCACTGGCAAGTAATGGTGTTATAGCACTTGGGGGGGGGGACTATGTTCCATAAATCAAAATCCCAATGGTTTATTCCAGGCCAGTGGTGCCTGGAGGCTCAAGGAATCTTATGAACTCCAAAGTCTTTGGGCAGCTCTAGTCTAGCTAAGGGTTA